CGGTCTTTTCGTCTCCCGCTCGTCTCACACATTACCATACTTATATTTTGACAGCGCGATTCGTCGAAGTAGCTGACAACAGAGCGTTTTTTTACCGAAATGGAGTCTCATCTCATACAATTTTTGATACAAAAATTGTTTTTATTTCATAACAATTCTTATTAGTGGTCTTCCACGCCACCCATTAGGTGCCACTATTAGCGCGTTAGGTTTTTACGTGGACCTTTGTCTGTAGCCTACATAAGAATAAAAAACAATTATACTAAACTAACAACAATTTTTGTATAAAAGTGTAACAGTGTAACATTAAAGAACTCGATAAAAAAGCGTTTGTTTCACCAGAGAGAAGCCTGAGAGCGGCCACGGCTATAAGAGTTTCTGTCATAGCAAAATCGCCCCGTACACTAGCGAATGTCCACGGGTGGTGCACATTGNAACTACGCAGACATGTCCACGAGCGACTTGTCGATACGTATGGCTATGTCCACGCGTGGACATGGTTTTATTTCGTGCTATGTGCTGTGGACATGGTTCTATTTCGTGCTATGTACACGTCGGTATACAAGTCGGTACAGACTTGTCGCGTATAATAACGTGAAATGCGCTTTCTCAAGATATACAGGGTCGGAGTTGTTCCACTTTCAGATAAAATATATCGGACAGTTTATCTAATAATTAATTATCATTTATTTTTCCACGTTATTTATCCCATAATATCTCAATTGTAAATAGAAAATGTTACAATGAAAACCACGGAACGAATCATTTGTGAATTAAAAAGAAAAAACATTTAATAAAACTTATAGTTTAATTTCAAATTTTGTAGCGTATTAATAGAGAAATAATAGAGAAAAAATGATTACCTGACATTGTTCTCATAGATCAATCGAAGTACTTACAAAAGAAAAAAGATTAATGAGAAAGAACTCTCTCTTGCAAATATATATCTATATATATTAATATTTTATATAATTTGAATCTACATATACAAATATATCGTCACTCCCTACGAATAATTACATAAGTGTCACATATGGGATTTTCAGTTTATTGCATAGTGACACTCAGAAAGTCATGTTCTTTGTGGTCACCAAGTATTAAAAAAAATATTCATAAGTATGGTAAAAATTTAAAACCAAAAGATCCCTTAACTAGGGAAACTATATGAAGCTTTAAAATTTTAAACTGCTCTCCTCTAAAATTTGCGTTTTGGAGTTACGGGATTATACGTAGGGAGTGACGATATAGAGAATATACATAAAAAAAGGAAATGTACATCTTGATATATAAAAGCGGTTTATTGCAAAATGGTAGACTTACAATACATGGTACATTACAATACTGTTATATGAATAGATAAACTGTAAACATGAGAAAAAGATAAATATAACAATTTCTGTCAGAAGTATGGTCTTTTTTATATAAATATTTTATATATATTATCTTTATAAATTTTTTTTTTTGCATACTTTAAATCCATTATATTAAACATTATTATCATAAAATAAATCTGTTTTTCTATGTTCTTCTTACATAAGTAACTATATATATGTAATCTTTCATTTGTAATATGTAAGAATACACAACCAGAATTACAAACTTTCTATCATCTATTTATATTCACTTTGTGTACGAACATTATTTATTAAATCCTTTCTCTTAACTATGTTATAATTTATATTATTTCTCTGTTTACTTCAT